TTTTCATTCCCTTTAAGGAATTCAACTTGAAGTGTAAACATTGCTGTTTTCATTTCAGATTACATGTATTTCGAACATCTGAGAGCTTCATTTGCCTTTATTTTTTTTCTCATGAGATTTCACAAAACAGAAAAAATGAGGATTATGTTTTCAGTAGTGTTTTAAATGCAATAGTGAATATATTAGCAGTGATAACTTACATAATTTTTCTTCTTATCTTTTATCAGCCATCATTGGCCTTCAAATTTACAGGTAAATGACACTTCTGAGTTTGTATTTACTATATACAAATAACCCTCCACAACCCTGTTCCAGCGCTAGGAGCATGTGTGCCATTATGCTGAACATTAGCAACGTTGCTGTTGGAAATGTGTTCCTGTAGTTTTGTTTTTGGAAATATTAAGAATAAAAACAGGCAATTAGAGCCTTTAGATGTCTACCAGAGAATTAAAAATTACATTTTTTTTTTTAAAGGTATGGGCACAGTGGCTCACGCCTATAGTCCCAGCTACTCCAGAGACTGAGGTAGGAGGATTGCTTGAGCCTGGGAGGTGGAGGCTGCAGTGAGCTGTGATCATGACACTGCATTTCAGCCTGGGTGGCAGAGCAAGACCCTGTCTCAAGAAAACAAAACAAACAAAAAATGGAAAAAGGTCATTGCAGGTGGCTCACTGTATTTCCCTTCTGTTATGATTTAGCAACCAGAAAGCACTAGAAACAGGCAATTTTTATTATATTCTTTTGCTATTTTCAACCTAATAGCTTGGATCAATACTGTAGCTAAGTCAAAACAGTTTAGCCTCGTAATCTCTAGAAGTGAAATTTCCTCTTTTATGAGAGGGAATTTATGGCTAATCTGGGTTATATTTGAAAGTCATTTTCCTCTTCAACTTTTGAGTGACATGAAACTAAGTCCCTAAAACACAGCAACAATTCACGTAGTACCCTGGGACACTGAAGGAGAAGAGTGAGCAAAAGACTCAAAAGGAGGAATGTTGGGAGCCCCAGGGTTTGGCCGTACAGTCACTCCTCTGATGCTTGCATAAGGGTGAGAAAAAGAGACAGTGTCTAGAAAAGTGACAGCAGGAGGAAGCCAGGGAGCCTTTGTTCTTCAGAAGTTTCTGTAAGGATCACCCCCTAACACTGATGTCCTGATTCCCACTCCATTATTTTATTAACATACAGACTTGACGGTCATCAGTGAGCTTCTTCTGGCCAAACTCAATATCCTTTTCCTTATCATCATCTTTTATTAGATTGGTGAAAAAGTAATTGCGATTTTTGCCATTAAAAGCAATGGCAAAAACCACAATTAATTTTACACCAACCTAATAGTTATTAATCATTTGACCCTACCTTGAACACTCCGTGTTTTGTAATATGCTAATTCTCGATTACCCTCCTTGGCTCTCTGTTGTTTGTTTGTTTGTTTGTTTGTTTTTGGAGACGGAGTCTTGCTCTGTCATCCAGGCTGGAGTGCCATGATGCGATCTCGACTCCCTGCAACCTCTGCCTCCCGAGTTCAAGCAGTGCTCTTGCCTCAGCCACCCAAGTAGTTGGGATTACTGGAGTGCACCACCTCAGCTAATTTTTGTATTTTTAGTAGAGACAAGGTTTCACCATGTTGGTCAGGCTGGTCTCCAACTCCTGACCTCGTGATCTGCCTACCTTGGCCTCCCAAAGTGCTGGGATTGCAGGTGTGAGCCACCGGGCCCGACCAGCTTTCTCTCTTGTTTTTGTGGAAGCCGCTCAAGCTTTGAAGAGACCAACAGTATTAGCCCCTCTTTCTTTTTCTTTTCTTTTTCTTTTTTTAGACAGAGTCTCACTCTGTTGCCAGGTGCCAGGCTGGAGTGCAGTGGTATGATCTTGGCTCACTGCAACCTCTGCCTCCTGGGTTCAAGCAATTCTCCTGCCTCAGCCTCTTGAGTAGCTGGGACTACAGGTGCAGGCCACCACACCCAGCTAATTTTTGTATTTTTAGTAGAGACGGGGTTTCACTATGCTGGCCAGGATGGTCTCCATCTCTTGACCTCATGATCCGCCCACCTGGGCCTCCCAAAGTGCTGGAATTACAGGCGTGAGCCACCGTGCCCAGCCTGTATTAGCCCCTTTCTATATTCCCACTTAGTGAGTGCACACTAAGTGCCGTCTCATTTCATTGTCATACCATGTATGCAGCTTACCCCAGTAATTTAGGTTTCTGATTACATATAATCTTGTATGATCTCTTCTGTGTGGGGGGAGGGATATGTGTATGTGTCTGTGAATCTGTGTGACTCTGTCTTAATCTCTGTTTATATGAGTTGTATTTGCTCAGATTGTAAGTGCTTAAAAATAGAAAATTCTAGAGGCAACTTGAGCATGTATTTTCGTGAGAACTGTGTTCAAATAGTGCTGTTCTTCATAATTAACTTTTATAGGTCTCTAAAGTTCTCTGAGACCCACTTTCCTCATCTTTAAAATATGAATAATAATACTCATCCCTCAAGATGAAATAAGTTCATAAATAAATATATACATATGGCATACAGTATACCTTCAATAAATGATTTTTCTTGTTTTAACTTTTCTCACATCACCCATTCTAGTAATATGATGTTAATTCAGTTTTAACATTCTAATAATACAATGTTAAGTTTGGTTTCAACACTGATTGACTGAAACTAATAAGATTAGGAAAGTTGAGATGTTAACTACATCTGGCTACCACAGTCTCTCAACGTGGTATATTATAAAAACATTTATCTGAATAAGTCACTTCAATGACTAATCAACATTTTATTTTCCTAAGGAAATGAAAATGCCAGGAAAATAGATGCACAATACTTTTAGTGTCATTATGTGTCTTTTAAATATTAACAGAGTTGTTCATAGTATTATTTGGAAGGGATTATAATAGGAAAAATACAGCATCTAATTTCCACTTGACGAATTCATATGCTATGAGTTGTTTTATTTGGGCTTAATTTTTATTTAGTAATTAACAGACTCAGAGATGGTAAATTTTGCTGAGGGAAAGTATACCAACAGAACATACCAATGGGAATCAAGTAATTCATAAAAATAAAACCTGATGTCTTGACATAAAATCCTAAGCATTGTACTGTAGTTTTTTTGTACTAGTAAAGCTAGAAAGATTTAAACTTAATGCACCAATGATTGCAGCCTTAGTGAAATGAAACTGTTTCTTAACCCCAAAGAATCCAGGCTCCCGATTAGCTCATGAGAAGACAATTATTTATAATAGCACTTACTGGTAGAGAGAAAGGAGTGAAACCTTAGATGGGCACTTAGACGTGACTAAGGCAGTTTTTATTTCTGATCCCGAAGCACTGAAGTGGAAGTCTGCAGTGACTCAGAGCACTGTGATGGCCCAGCTGTTCAGGGGCATACGTCTCTGGTGTGGAGTCAGGCATCACCGGAGGGAGGACTCACCGCAGAAGAATCGGCACATGTATTGACTCACCTGACACCGTCTTACCAGTAGTGAGAAAGAGGAACATTTCGTTAATCTTCTATTTGAAGTTAATTTTCATTGATTCCCAAAGCACATATGAAATAGCACTCTGGGCCTAATTAATGCCTGCCTAGCTAATACTCGGCCTCTGGAAATGATAACCAGGGGCCATTTTCATAAGAAGCTTGGTAATTTCCTTCTAATATATTGATTTAGTTATTATTATTTTTTCTGAAAGCCCTCATTCACTGGTGAAAGAAGCAGCCTGCTTTATTTGACATATTTATTTTACAGCCTTATCTCCTTGTGTTGGAATATGTCAGGTGAATCTGTCCAAAATCGTTAAAGATACTTGGCATAAAATGGATACACCGAGGGAGAGAACACTTACATGGTGGCCAATTATGGGTCTGCTCCTCATTCCAAGAACGGCCACTTCTATTTTCTTATGTTTGTTATTTCTTGTTAATTTGGAACTCAGATGAGTTAGGAAGCAATATGACTGTCAAGAGGCCCCAAACCCAGTCATAGAAATATGTAACAAAGCTCCCTATATAACATGATATTTTGTATTTTGGCATAACATTTTTGGCTTAAATGCCAAAATATTGCTGCTCTATGTTATTTTCTTAATAATTTATTCTCTTTTAAAATATAACTTGCCTAAGGATATTTATATACAGATACATTTCATCCATGAATAAAACAGACTGGAGTCAACAAAGATTATAGGCCTAAAAGTATAGTTTTGCTTGGTTTTGGACAGTGTTGAAGAAATGCATATGTTCACTTGATAATTCTGGATATGTCTTTTCTGAGTCTTTTCTCCCAGGATTATGTGCTTTCTCTTTGTGCTCCCGTAATACCTGTTCTTACCGGCTTCATATCTATCTATTTCTGTTCCATTTCCTTCACTAGACTTTGAATTTCTTGTGGCCAGGACCATTCTACTTGTTTTTATCTCTTCAAAATCTAGCAAAGCATTTGACACATACCAAGTTATTAAAAAGTGTTCATTCGATGAGAGAACAGTGTCAGATTATTAATCTATGAAGTTTCAGTGTATTATGACTTGTAAGAAAAATGTTTTTTTTTCCTAAACAGTAAAAACAATGCAGTTGGCTAATCTGATGAGTAGTCATTAAGGTACAAGTTATGGACTGTTTGCTGATTTAGCTCATGGTCTACAAATAGAATAGTGCCTTTTTAAAGCTTTAAGAGATAGACAACTTTACTCGATTTATGAATATCATTTATGTTAACAATGGGAACCCCATACACTGTCTTCAAATTCTTGATAATTACATATATAAAATGGAAAGAATATGCATATATATTTCAATAACTGGATTTTGAAATTTGGAGCACAGAGGTGGAGTGTCATTTTATATTGAGAATGGAAAGTCAGGAGCCTTGCTACACATGATGCAATTGCTTCCATGGAATATTTTCAGACCAATAGGAGTTTGTGAAGAACTTTTATGGACGGTATAAATATTTTGAGCTGTAGGCATCATTACCAGCTGATATTTTCTTTCCTCAGGACCAGCTGTTCAGGAGCACCACGGACGAGAGCCAGGCACATTTGAGACTTGGATCTCACTAAAGACCGCCGCAGATTCTTCTGCAGCAATGTCGGTGTTAGAAGAAAATCGGCCATTTGCTCAACAATTGTCCAATGTCTACTTTACAATACTTTCGCTGTTCTGTTTTAAGCTTTTTGTGAAAATCAGCCTTGCAATCCTCAGTCATTTCTACATCGTGAAAGGCAACCGCAAGGAAGCGGCAAGGATAGCAGCTGAATTTTATGGAGTATCCCAAGGACAAGGTATGTTTATGATAATCCTCTCTGGTTTCAAGTGGAGTTTAACTCTGATTTGATCCACAATTACATGTTTCCTTTTTAGACTGCTTCAAGGTAAATATTTTATAAACTTTTATTAAGGAAAATACTTGTAACTCACTTCTTGGCTTATAAAAAGGAAAATTACTTTCTTATGTAAATGTTAATGTTAAAATCAAGGTATCATTGCAAAAGAGATTAAGGGAGACACACTGTATATATAATAGGAATCATAGGAATATGTATATTCTTCTTAAGAAACAATTTAAAAAGTTAAGCATTTTATTTGCCAAGTCATAGTATTAGAGATTAGTTTTAGAAGTCAGTGATTGCACTTCAATCATCCTTTAATGTCTACCTGGATTGCATAATTTTAAATCAAGTATTATTTATATGTAAAATAATTGTTATTAAAAAGAGGGGATTTCAAGATTTTGTTTCTTACAACTTTAATAAGATAACCATTTGACTCTAAAGTAAAGCATACAAAAAGGTTTCACAGCATGTGTTTTTCTGATGGAACTGTTATTGCTCAGCTCAGTTTGTGGAAAATTGATTATAAAAGGATAGAAACATCATTAATGAATTTTGTATGTATGCAGCCAAGTGCATTCAGGTTCCTTAGAAGAAACTGTGGTATGAAACCAAATGAGAAACAATATTACCCATAGATTTCAAAAGGTTGTAAAACCATTTAGGTCCTATTGGATCAATATTCTAAAAAATAAAAATGACTCAGATGGCGGGCTTTAAAGTGCCATTTTTAATTCGCGTAGTTTTCAGATTCATTTCTGATTTGAAAATCAACAGGCATGCATGAACATTTATAGCCCAAATACCTCCAAAACAACTTAAATTGTCAGAATCAAAATTTACTTTCCACACAGTTTAAACATGTAAACTTGAAAGAAAAATGTCTTAGAGTAGAAAGCTTGCTTTCTTAAATTCCATTTTCCTACATTTTTTCAATGTGGGATGTGACTCATTTTAAAATCTAGGTTACTCTATTGGTACATGGAAAGTTAAGTGAAGACAGAAAATTTTTTTTAGTGTGTGTGAGGTAGATAATGAGTACATTGCAATTTTGCAACATGAGGGATTGACGTTCTCACTCAAAATGAGGAAAACATAAATGCTCGTAAGAATCTCTCATAGGGAAGATAAAATCTCAATTAAATAGGCAGCATTTAATCCTTTACCTACCACCTCTGCCTTAGAACAGAGACAACTATATTTTGCGTATTTATTTATTTTCCTGGAGTCTGGGGCTCACACTGTTGCCCCGGCTGGAGTGTAGTGGCTCAATCATGGCTCGCTACAACCTTGAACCCCTGGGCTCCAGGGATCATCCTGCCTTAGCCTCATAAGTAGCTAGGACTACAGGTGCATACAACCATACCTGGCTAATTTTATTCTTTGTAGAGACAGAGTCTCAACATTGTCTGCTTTCTGTGGTCTCAAACTTCTGGGTTCAAGTGATCCTCTTGCCTCAGCCTCCCAAAGCTCTGGAATTACAGTTGGGAGCCTTCATGCCGGGCCTGAACTGTAACAAAATGTGACATATACACTATGTGATTCATCTGTACATAAAAAAATGTAGTTGCCCATATTTTTAGATATATGACTAAACAGCTTACATGATCATAAGATGGTAACATTTACCCTCATAGACAGCCTGTAGCACATTACTTCATACTCAAATCTTGTCTGTGTATTGTGGGGAATGCTGTACATTAACACGTGAAATATTGCCTAAACAGAAGAAACTTTTTTTGTGGGTCGACAAGGGTTTTAGAGGAGGCCATGGAAGCTCCTTTTTGTACATATTTTCCAGTAAAAAGAAACACTCATCCCCTCATTTGACTGATTTTAGTGTGCTTATGTTAGGAAATCGTGAAAATATATGAAATAGTTTCCATGTTCCCATAGACTTTTAGGATTCTATTTTAAAATAAATTAGAACTCTAGGATTTTTTGTCTCAAGAAGGGAAGAAAAAAGGAAATTAGTATCCATTAATAGGAAACACTTTTCCTGGAAATATAAGATGGAAGCAAAGTTTTTAAAAATTTTGTGTTACTTTTAATGTTAGATCTATTTAATGAAATTTCCCCCCTAATATCATGTATTAATCTTTATATGAAACAATAGAATATAGTATTATAATTTTTATTCGATGTAGGCATAATTTGTTTCCAATTTTATTTTAACATTAAGAGAACAAATTAGGTATCTTATAAAACTCTTAATCTACTTCTAAGCGTTCGTTCTTTCTTGCCCAGGAAAATGATTACTTTCTCCATTTTAACATAGCTTTTTCTTTTATTTACTGTAAGTCAACTATTTTTTTTTATTTTGTGTATATCTTTATAATTCACTAATTAGGCTTAATTATCTCTGTTTAATCCAACGATTTCCTCTTTCCTGGGAGAGATTAGCACCTTCATTCCACTTTGAATTGTGTTTCCATTCCTACTTTCAAGGCTTAGCCAGACGGCTCCCCAACGTTTCTGATATGGAGTTGCCAAATTCCATGAAATAAGAGATGGTGTGTATATCTTCATGTCTTTCATAATCACAGAAGACCCTGTGACAACATTCTGGATGCCCTCCCCATAAGTAGTAGTACATCAGTATGAAATAAAAGGAACTGTTAATTTTTTAGATACTATTGCAAATCAACTGATTGTATTAGACAAATATATGGTGTTTTTCTGTTTGTTTGTTTTTAAAGCTCTTTCCTGTCAGGCTTGAGACCAAGGTATGATTACCCGTGAAAATGCTGAAAATCTAAATGGTATCTAAAATAGCTCAAGATATCTCCCTCTTGATCCTTTTGCTATTTCATTAAACTTTACAAATCTACCTTTTCATCTCTAAAGACTTTTATCACCCTCATCATTGTACTTCAGGGGCCGATTCTTTGCTTTGCTTTTTTGTATATCTACCTCCTGTATTGTTCTTGCTGCTAAGTGTCCTGATTACAATCTTTATATATCAGAGGCCTCGTCTAATCTTGAAGCTAACCCTAGACTTTGAAACTGACAGGGAGACTACCAGGCTGTGAAGGCTATACTGAAATATTAAACAGTGTACAGAGAGAATAAGGATGTGGAGAAATGGATTAAGGCCTAGGAGAAGCCATGAACTGCTTTACTCCCAAAGAAACTTCAAGAGGCAGCTCTTCTCTTCTGTTAAGGACAATACTTTTCAAGTTCTATCTTAGGCTCTGAAGAGGTTTAGCAGTTTTTGCTACAAATAGACAGGACATGTTCTAAGCATTGATTTTCTGAGCACCCTTGATATCAAGATACTGCAGATACAGTATACATAAAAAGCAAAATGTATGGTTCTCATCCTTAAGTTTATATTCTAATTGAGGAGACAGGAAATCTACAGATAACAGTCACTTTCCAGAACACTCACTGTCAAATGACTCTAAAGAATGAATGGGTCATTTTCCAATTTGTACTTTTAGAGATATCTTCAAAGAGAAGGCAGATCTTGAGATGACTCCAGGAAATGACAGAGGCATGGATTTATTGGTACACACTGATAATTGGAAGACAGTAGATTTGGCTGGAGTGGAGAGTTCATGCAGTAGAAAAATAAGTTGGGCCTAGATATGAAAGAATTTGAATTTCATGCTAAACAATTCAGACTTAACTTTGAAGGTAATGGGTGTCATTGAAAGTTTTTGTTACAAAAGAAGGTGGGAAAATAAAAAACGCTACATATTAAACCATAATTTAAAGTAGATTTATATAGTAATATTCTTTGGAGTTGGACAAGACAGATTTGAAATAAGTTGATCAGTTAGGACCTTGCCATGAGGAGATGAGGACTTAGTTTTCTCCTGGTAGTATGGACAGAAAACAAAGAATGACAACAAAAAATAAAGAAAAGGAAAAGAAGAAAGAAAGAATCTGATGATGCCTGTAAATAGCATTCACATAGCCTTTAAATTGACAAAAAGAGCAAATATTACCTTAGAGTAACATTTTAACATATTACTTTCCTCATTTTAACATAGCTTTTTCTCCCACAGTTAGATATTAACATGTCAATCAGAAGATTCATTAGCCACACAGGTCAAGTCTGCAGCCTCTAGCCAAGGCCACTCCTTGAAAGTATGACTCTTAGAGCTTGGTGAGTCTGGTAGGTTACATACCTGTCTGTACTGGGAAATATCAATGTACATCAGGAAGTAATCGCATTAGAATCTGAATTTTAGTCTTGCATTTGATTTATTTAATGTATTCTTTTTGTTCAAATTTATATTTTTAAGCACCAAGCCTTCCAGTTATGACTTAGCTCCCATCTTGATCTGCCCACAGAAAGAAAATGTGCCAGCTTGCCCTCAGGACTGTTTTAGTCCATCTGACATTTATAGGTCTTGTTGCAAATTAATATATTTGCATCTTGATATCAATCATTGGTATTTTGTGTTTGTTGAGTTGTAAGTCCACTTCTGAGATGTAAATTTGCTCCAGCTCTGCTGACAGATTTCTGAGCCTGAAAGACCATGGACCAAATTTTGGATTGTGGAAAATTTATCATGGTAATATGTCTCTGTGAGGCTGCTTGAGAAGCAATCTGATGACACTCAAGCTCTTCAGGTGTAGCTTTCATGGTTGAGATTACATGTAGAATGTATGTAGAATCCTCATATAGAATGTTTATGCTTGTGATTTCATATTACATGTAGAATACAGAATGAATGTCGAATCATCGTATAGAATGTTTATGCTTGTGATTTCATATTACATGTAGAATACAGAATGAATGTCGAATCATCGTATAGAATGTTTATGCTTGTGAGTTCATATTACATGTAGAATACAGAATGAATGTCGAATCATCGTATAGAATGTTTATGCTTGTGATTTCATAAGTTTTGTTTTAGGGTTGTCATTAAACATGAGATTATTTTTTGTCCAATTTATGGTAGACACTTGGACCTAGGACATAGTATAAATGTGTGACC